CCTGTGGCCGCATGTGATGCGTTGTTGTAAGCGAACTCTAGGGTCGCTAACTGTGTGTCCCAGTGGCTGACGTCGTCCTTGCAAGCTATGCGCAATAACTGTTCAACCACTTGATTGAGTCGCTCTGTCTGTCCGTCAGTCTGGGGGTGGTATGCAGAAGACATTGCAAGCTTTGTCCCCAACAGTCCCATGAGCTCCTTCCAGAACTTACTGGTGAATTTTGGGTCTCTGTCTGAGATGAGTGTAGCGGGGATGCCGTGGATGGTGATGATGCGGTCGAAGAAGAGGCGAGCATTTGCTTCAGCTGTAGCTGTGGCGTTGGTCGGTATGAAGTGACCCATTTTGGAGAACTTATCGATGACTACGAGGATGGAATCGTGCCCCCTTGAGGTCGAAGGGAGTCCGGTGATGAAGTCGAGGCTAACGACCTGCCATGGCTGCTCCGGTACGGGTAGAGGCTGAAATAACCCTGCTTTTTTCTGCTTGCTGCTCTTCATCCGCTGGCACGTGTCGCATGAGGTGACGAACTGCTGCACGTCTGCTGCCATCCCGGGCCAGTAGTACTACTTTGCTATCCCTGCTAACGTCTTGTTGCTCCCGAAATGTCCCGCGTATGGTACGTCGTGAAACTCCTCCAATAGGATCTGCCGTAGCGGGGCGTAATTCGGTACCCAAATCTTTCCTGAACCCTTCCTTACAGCTAAGTCTTTCTCCCACTGTAAAAGCTTCTTGGTCTGTGCTGTAGCAATCTCTGCGTCCACGGAGTACCCATGTTGGAATAGACCCTTGAGTAGAGGGTTCATCCCGTCGAGCTGGATGCCTGCTACATGTCCAGGGCGGCTCAACGCGTCTGCCTTGTTGTGTAGCCCGGGCTTGTAGACGATGTCGTAGTGGAAGTGAGTTTCCAGAAAGTCCACCCACCGCACCTGTCGTCGTGAGAGCGTCGGCTGCGACTTCAGGTATTTGAGACTGCAGTGGTCACTATAGACTGTGGTCTTGGCTCCCTCTAGGTAACACCTCCACGCTTTGAAGGCTATGACTATCGCTAAGGCTTCCTTGTCATGAATGGGGTAGTTCAGTTCTGCTCCGTGTAGCTTCTTACTGAGGTAGGCGATGGGCTGCAAACCGCGTCCGTGATCCTGCATCAGTACTGCTCCGACTGCTTGGTCACTAGCGTCTGCTTCCACCACGTAGTCCTTGTCTGGATCCGGCAAGATGAACACTGGCGCTGTAGTCAGTGCTGTCTGTAGCTGCTCCATGGCTTGCTGATGAGGGGTATCCCATTTGTAGGGCGTATCCTTTTTCAGTAGGTCGGTCAGTGGCGCTGCTGGCTTAGCGTACTGCGGCACGAACCTGTTGTAGTAGTTGGCGAAGCTTAGGAACTGCTGTAACTCCTTCACGTTCTCCGGTACTTTCCACTTCTTGACGGCTTCGATCTTCCGCGGGTCCACGTGTACGCCCTCGGCACTCACCATGTGCCCGAGAAACTGCACCTTCTTCAGGGCGAAGTCGCTCTTTGACAGCTTCACCTAGAACTTGTTTTTCCGCAGGATCTCGAACACCTTCCGTAGATGCTCCACGTGCTCCTTCATGTTCTCGGAGTAGATGAGAATGTCGTCCAGGTACACCACCACGCACTTGTCCAGTAGGGGTCGTAAGATGTGATTCATCTCCGCCTAAAACGTTGCTGGTGCGTTGTAGAGTCCGAACGGCATCACCAAGTATTCGTAGGAGCCGTATCTGGTACGGAACGCCCTCTTGTGGATCGAGTTGTACGCCATCTTGATCTGCCAGTAACCCGACCGTAGGTCCAACTTCGAAAAGACTGTTGCACAACGCAGTTAGTCCAGTAGGTCGTCTATGCGCAGTATGGGGTATTTGTTTTTAACTGTCTGTTTGTTCAGTGCACGGTAGTCGATGCACATCCGTAGACTGCCGTCTGGTTTTGGAGTGAAGAGGACGGGTCCACCGTAGGGAGAGGTGGATGGGCGGATCAGTTGTCTCTCCAATAGATACTCTATCTGTTTCTTCATGACTGTCAGCTCGGTCGGACTCAGTCGGCATGGTGCACGTGAGACGGGTTTCGCACCTGGTTCCTCCACGATCTCGTGCTCGTGGGTGCGTGCTGGAGGAACGCCTACAGGTAGGTCGTCGGGCATTATATCCTTGTACTGCTCCAAGACCTCCTTCACTGTTGCAGGTAGCTCGGAACTCGGCTTCTTCTCCTCTGCTGCTGCCATAACCAGTGCTAGGTAACCCGTGTTACTCTCGTTCACCGTCTGTTCGAACCGTGCCAGTGTCGTTTCAGGTACGTCCCCTGTATCCGTCCAGCTTCGCAGTGCTATCCGCTTCCCGTTGTTGTAGATGCACACCTTGCTGTTGACCCAATCGATCTCGGGGTTGAACCGCTTCAGGAAATCTCGCCCCAAGATAAAATCTAATCCTTTGATGTTGGTGACTGGTAGCTTTGGCTTCCACCTCAACGCACCTATATGCAGCTGTAGTGATGCTTCGCCGTGGATAGGAAGCTTCGTACCGTCCACCATGGTTGCTGAAAACTGGGTCTCTTCCACCTTCTCTCCAATTTTCTCCAATGCTCCGCGGTCACACACCGAGTGAGATGCACCGCTGTCCACCAGTGCCTGGAGGCGTCGCCCATTGCATAACACCTCGAGGAGTAGTGGTTTCTGCTGCGCTGAGTAGCCAAAGAGGGTCTCGTTAATAGGATCATAGGGTACATCAAACTTAATACCTTCCCTTTTTCCTATACCTGACTCAGCGCTTTCCAACTTCACCTGGGGGGTAGGAGGATTTTTCCGAGGCTTGTATAATTTCTCCTGAGCCTGGATGTCTCCTCTAAGCCTTGGCAGCTGTGTAGGCTTCACCTGTGGGCAACGGGGAGCCTTGACACTGTGCTGCGGGGAGAGAATATTAACTCCACGGAACGCACGACCCTTTTCTACGCTCCGTAGTACTTTGCCCAACTTCTCAGGTACCTGAATAATTTCTAAAGGCTTTTTCTTGGCCTCTAGACCTCCCCTGAATTTTTTGAAGGCTTGTAAACCACGAGAAGCAATATTCTTTGTTAGAGCATCTTTATAGGATACTTCTAACGAATTCTTACTTTCGTGGGCGTTCGCCTGGAGTTTCCCGGTCGGTGCAGAGTCTGTGAAAATTTAGAAGAAAGAAGAGGATTGCACTAGCAAGAATGAGGATACAAATAGCAAACCCTAGAAGGGTTCTACTCGCTATAGAGCACCCCACTACAGGCTAGAGCATAATATTCTGACACACCCCCATAGCCAAGGTGGGGTGTAATCAGCAGAGCAAGCAAAGCAGTACAAGCTCAGGGTGGATCACAATGTCACCACACATTCTGAGCACAAGTTCAAGAAGCAATAGTTTAAAGTTCACAATTATGAGCAAAGCTAGAGGCTATCGCAGAGGGCTAGTGTGGAGGAGGAGGGACTATGAGAGGAGAGGAGGTAGTGGGCGGCAGCTGAAGCTGCTGGCACACGGCGCAACTGGAGCAACTGGCACACGGCAACTGGAGCAACTGGCACACTGGCAACTGGAGCAACTGGCACACGGGCTACTGGAGTAACTGGCTCCGCGGCTAAAAGTAGCGGCAGACGAGCAACGGACTCACGGGCGAGTGGAGCAACGGGCTCACAGACGACTGGCGCAACGGGCTCATGCGCGACTAGCGCAACGGTCTCATGGGCAACTGGAGCTGCGGGCTTCTCGGCGGCCACCCCATTCAACCTCCCCAAACTATCCCACCCCCATTTCACACACCCCCTACTGCACCCCTAGGGGCACTCACACCCCACCCCCTAGCACCACTCCGTCGACTCCCACACACCCACCCCCCTCAGCGGCAGCTGCAGCAGTGGGAGACAGAGGAGGAGGAGGAGCAGGGGAGACCACACACCCGCCACCCCCCAGGTCGCCACTCAGGTCACCTCGACATGGCCGGGGCGGGGCCGGGGCCGCAAGTGGCGGTGACAGGGCCGCTGGCGGCGAAGACGGGGCCGCTGGCGGCGGTTCGGGGCCGATAGGAGCGGCGACGGGGGGCGACGCGCGGGTCCCCGTTGCCCGTCGCAGCGCCTCCCGCGGGCGACGCGCCGAGTGACGGGGCAGAAACCCATCGCGCGCCTCGGGGCGCACGGCGGGCAGAAATCCGCCGCGCGCCTCGGGGCGCACGGCGGGAAGAAAAACTGCCGCACGCCACGGGGCGTGCGGCACAGAGAGTAGCAGTAGCAGTTGCAGCGGAAGCAACGAGGTGGTGAGCCCACCCACAGGATCGATCCAAGGGGATCGACCTGCTCTGATAGCATGTGAAAATTTAGAAGAAAGAAGAGGATTGCACTTGCAAGAATGAGGATACAAATAGCAAACCCTAGAAGGGTTGTACTCGCTATAGAGCACCCCACTACAGGCTAGAGCATAATATTCTGACATATTCTTTTTTCGCGGAGCCTCCATTCGCCTCGGCGATTTCCCCTGATGCCGGCCGGTCGTGACGTTTTGAATTCGCGCCATCTTTTTCTCCTTTTTTCACCCGCTCCGAAGTCGCCACGTCGTCGCCTTTTCCTGCTTTTCGGATCTTTACATGATCGCCAGGTCAATCCGCGGCTACTGGCTGTTGAGATTAGAGAGAGAATGTGTGCACTATGAAATGAAACAAGTACAAGTACCAACCCTAATTGGGTTGTACCCCCTATGGGCTACCCCACTACAGCCTAGATATATGCATCAGTAATATGATCATCTGACACACCCCCATAGGCAAAGTGGGGGAGAGCAAGGGGTCACAAGACCAGTCAAGCAAAGCAAAGCAAAGCAAAGCAAGCTCAAGGTGGATCTCAAGGATACCACACAAATTCCGAGCACAAGGTCAAGGCCACAAGGCCAGTTCACATGCAGCAGAGCATATATATATAACAGTGCTAAACAAGCAAGAGCAAGAATATATATATGCAGCAGTACAAGCAAGGTCAAGAGGTAAGCATGTGAGGCCCAGTGGGCACAAGGCCTAGCAGAGTGCAAAAGCGCTGATGGTCACGAGGCGGAAGTGCCTTGGTGAACACATCAGCAGTGTTGGCCTCAGTGGCCACAAAACGCAGGCGAAGCTGACCACGCTGCTGCAGCTCTCGAGCAAGGAAGTAGCGCAGAGCAATGTGCTTCGTCCTGTGCTCCAGTCTGTGCTCCTCACACAAGGCAATGGTTGCCTTGTTGTCGATATACAGCATTGGAGGAGAACGAGGCCGCTCTCCAAGGTCAGTCAGCAGGTAGGTGAGCCAGCGAAGCTCCTGGGCAGCCATGGCCGTGGCGTAGATCTCAGCCTCACAGCTGGAGCTGAGAACCGAAGAAGAGCGAGTAGAGCGCCAAGAGACAGAGCCAGAGCCAAGACTGAAGGTGTAACCCTGAGACGACCTCTGAGTAGCCTGGTCGTCAGCCCAAGAAGCGTCTGAGTGCCCAGTGAGCACAGGCCGCTCACGCCCTCCAAGCACTAGCCCCATGCCCGACGTACTGCACAAGTAGCGCAACACCCTCTTAGCTGCATCCATGTGCTCCTTCCGGTGACGGCCGGGAGCAACATAGCGTGCTAAGATGCTGAGAGGGTATGCGAGGTCAGGTCGAGTGCAAGTCATCAGGTACATGAGGCAGCCCACAAGCTCTGGATACGGACCACTCGACTCTACGGACTCATCCGAAGGCAGAGCTGAGAGCGAGTGTCCCGTAGGCAGAGGAGTGGACTGGGGCGAGGAGTACGTGAAGCCGAAGCGCTGAAGGACCTGCTGCACCATGTGTGACTGAGTCAGGGTAATGGTGCGGCGTGCTCTGTCCCGGGTGATCCGCAAGCCAAGATAGCTTGTCAGTTCACCCAGGTCTGTGCACGTGTGTCTCTTCTGCAGCTCGGACTTCACGTGGGCGAGTGCGGCAGTGTCCGCAGTGGCAAAGACCAAGTCGTCGACGTACACGAGGATGTAGAACGGCGGCAGCGAGGTGTCGGTGCGAAGAAACAGCGACGGGTCAGCAGTAGAAGGAGCAAACCCAAGAGCCGCAAGTGTAGTCCTCAGTGTGTCGTGCCACTCACGCGGCGCCTGGCGGAGACCGTAGACTGGCCGCCGGAGGCTCCACTGGGTACCAGGAGGGAACGACCCAGTGAAGCCAGGAGGGCGGCGCAGCCAGATCTCCTCGTGCAGGCGGCCCTGCAGGAAAGCAGTGCTGAAGTCAAGAGAGTGTAGCTCATAGTCACGCTGAGCAGCGACGTGCAGTAGAACCCGAAGAGTGGTCATCTTCGGGGTCGGGGAGAAGGTCTGAAAGAAGTCAACTCCCTGTCGCTGTCTGAAGCCACGAGCCACGTAGCGCGCCTTGAAGACAGGCGGAGAACCCGGCGGCCGCTTCACCCTGAAGATCCACATGCCACTGACAATGTTCGCCCCAGGAGGGGGAACAGCGTCAACGTAGGTGCCTGTGGACTTCCAGGAAGCCATCTCTGCGTCCATGGCTGACTGCCACTGAGAGGAGTAGGGACCGGCCATCGCCTCTGCGTAAGAGCGTGGGGTCGGGATGTCTAGAGCATCCGGGTCTCCCTCAGGGGCAACAAGCATGGACACAAGATGGGGCAAAGCGGCGGCAAAGCACTGGAACTCCTCCTGCCTGTCCTCAAGGACGTCCGTGCCAAGAGCACAGTCACCCACGACGGACGGAGGACAGGCAGACGCAGACGCAGACTCAGCAGACTCAGCAACAAGACTGGCAGCGTAGTCCAGACGACACGCAGCAGCAAAGTCGACCAGCTCAGCAACTAGGGCAGACGCAGCAGCGGACTCAAAGGAAGGGTCAGTGACAAGAGTAGCAAGAAGACGCGTGACAGTAGGACTGGCAGCACGAAGAGAGTCCGACTCCGGGTCGGCAAGAGTAGGAAGAGAAGACTGAGGAGGAGAAGGCAAAGGGGCACGCAGAGGAGCAGTGGACGGACGCAGAGACATCTGGTGCGTGCCAGGGACAGGAGGAGGACGCGGACGCGAAGCGCGACCACTAGTGCGAGCAGCTCGGACTGGCGACACAGGGCGGGACGCAGGCTCACGACGCTCAGCAAGACCTCCAGTAGGACCAGCGTAGGGAGAAGGAGAAGGCAGAGGAGAGGTGGGCTGTAACTGCGACCGTGACGGGACAGGCTGCGGACACTCTACGGGAGGAGAAGGACCAGTGGAAGGCGGGAGACCAAGAACCTGCTGAAGGAGCGGAACGAAGTACGGCCGAGGCCGCGCAGCACCGCCAGAGACAGCAGGGACAGCACCATCACCTCCAGAGGCAGCACCAGCACCAGTAGCAGCTCCAACTCCAGCACCACCAGCAGCTGCAGAAGGACCCGCAGTAGGACCGACAGTCGTAGCCTCAGCTCCAGCACCCGCAGAAGCTCCAGCTCCAGAGGCACCCCCGGGCCCGGCAGCTCCAGTACCCGAAGTACGAGCACCTCCGGGAACCGTGGTACCAGCTCCCTCGGCAGCAACGGAAACTCCAGCACCCGCAGTACCCCCGGCTCCAGCAGCTCGCCTCCAGCGCCGGGCAAACCACTCACGCAGCTCCAGAGGAGAGAGCGGCTCGCGGCGCGAAGAACGGTCTGGAGAACCACCAGGAACAGAAGCAGCAGGCGCAGCACTCCCAGACGCTGAACCCTTAGGCTCAGCACCCCCAGGCACAGCACCCCCAGGCTCAGCACCCCCAGTCGTAGCACCCCCAGGCTCAGTACCCCCAGGCTCAGCACCCCCAGGCTTAGCACCCCCAGTCTCAGCACCCCGAGGCTCAGCACCCCCAGGCTCAGCACCCCCAGGCTCAGCACCCCCAGTCGTAGCACCCCCAAGCTCAGTACCCCCAGGCTCAGCACCCCCAGTCTCAGCACCCCCAGGCTCAGCACCCCCAGTCTCCGCACCCCCAGTCTCAGCACCCCGAGGCTCCGCACCCGCAGCAGCACCAGAGTCACCAGTGACCTCGACAGGCTCGACCGCGTCTACCTGAGACACACCTGAAGGGGCAGGACCCTGAGGGGGGAGGGGGTCTACCGGGGGGGGACCTGGGACCAGGAAGAGGGGCGGGGGGGGGAGGGACGGAGTGCGGTAGGGGAAGAGCCGGTAGAAGGGAAACGACTCGTCGAACGTGACGTCCTGGGAGGACAGAACACGACGAGAGGTGGGGTGGTAAAACTGCCACCCAGGTGCGTCAGGGGGGAAACCCAGGAAGACGCAAGGAGCAGCACGAGGGGACAGCTTGTCCGCAGACAAGTCGCGGACAAACGCCCGAGATCCCCAGACACGGAACGCCGACGCATCGCCAACCTTCCCCGTCCACAGCAAAGCTGGGGAGGTCTCCGTTCTGGACACCCTGGGCTGAAGGTTGATCTGATGTGCGGCGTACCTCACCGCAAACAGCCACAGAAAATGGGGGGCAGCCGCATGCACCATGGACGTACGGGCGACGTCCATGACAATGCCGATGCGGCGCTCAGCAATCCCATTCTGCTGTGGAGAGTCCGGAAGCGTGAAGGTCTGGCGGATGCCTCGTGCCTGACAGTAGGCTCGCAAAAGGCCGGAGGAGAACTCTTCGCCTCTGTCCGAGTGCAGACGCAAGACAGGAAAGTCCGAGCCGAAGCTCCGCCTGAGCTGGAGACGAGCTGCGCGGATCCAGGCGATCAACACCTCAGTGACCTCACCCTTGCTGCGCAAGGGGAACAATGTGGTGTAACGTGAGTAGTCGTCAACCACCAGCTGGAAGTAGCGCTCGTGACCCTGTCCACAGACGCGGGCTGGGCCCCACACGTCCATGTGAAGCGTCTGCATCGGGGCCTCCGTCGGAGGGAACGGGGAGGAGTGAGGGGTAGCCCGCAGGCGACCCTCGACACAGGGGACACAGGGAGGGCCAGGTCCCGGAGGAAGAGGAGGGAGGGACCGGGGAAGGCCAGAGACAAGAAGGCGAGAGGCCATGCCCCGGAGACGAGGCAGGGAGGGGTGACCCATCCTGTGGTGCCACAGGAGGGTCTCGTGGGACAGGAGGCGACACGAGCAGGGGGCAGACTCAGGACCAGACCTGGACGCTGCAGCAAACACCTCACCCGACGCAGCTACCTGACCAGACGCAGGAGGAGGAGACGGAACAGTGAGTGTGTACAGGCTCGACCCCGGCCCACGTGTGAACGTGGTCAAGTGTCGACCCGTGTCCGCGTCCGTGCAGTGAGTGTCCCGTCGGCGTGCAGGGGTGAACTGGTCGACCCCTGCATCCTGTAGGTCAGCACCCGCCACCAAGTTCGTAGAGAACGAGGGGAGGTAGAGACCGGACAGGGCGCCAGACGGGACCGCAAGGCACGGCAGGACAGTGGAGTAGCGAGCCAGAACAGGACCCCCAGAGGGGTCCGCCAGGGAGACCGCCACTGGCCGACTAAGCGGCGTGAGTGTGGTGCGGTCTCGAAAGAAGGAGCGAGACGCCCCTGAGTCAAGAGTGAAGGTGAGAGAGGGCGGAGCCGACGCAGTACCTGAGAGAGCAGACTCACCAGCACCTGAGGACACAGACTCACTGGCACCTAGAGCGACAGCCTCACCAGCACCTGGAGCAGCAGCCTCAACAGCACCTAGAGCCGCAGTACCAATGCCCAGGTCGGGCGGGAAACACCGGTAACAGTCACCCTCCTCACTAATAGTCACAGCATACATGGCAGCAAGAATAGCATCAAAGTCAAGATCAAAGATAGCTACTCCTGCCCTAGACAGCTGGTCCCAGCGAGGGATCTCAGAGGCGTCAGGAAACTGGCGGCGCCAAGCGTCAGTCAGGCGGCCGAAGCAGCGCTGGGCGGGGTGTGGACCACCACACGGCTCACCCGCACGGTCGCCCGTGCGCAAGACGTAGGTGCACGGACCAGTACCCCCACCCCTCTGACGTGCAGCGTACCACTCACGGAGCTGCTGCGGGGAGAGGGTCTCCTGACCACGCTGCTGTTGGCGCTGACCGCCACCGGAGCCACTCCTCTGCGACGAGCCACGACCTCCTCCGCCGCCTCCTCCGCCGCCGCCGCCACCACCTCCGCTGCCACCGCCACTCCCACCGTCGCTGCCGCCACCGCCGCCTCCGCCTCCACTCCCACCACCACCGCCGCTGCCACCCCCGCCTCCACTGCCGCCGCTGACACCTCCACTCCCGACACCACTCCCGCTACCACCCCCACCTCCTCCGCTGCCTCCACCGCCGCTCCCACCGCCCCCGCCGCCTCCACCACCGCTCCTGCCCCCTTTGCCCTTGCCAGAGCGACGTCTCCCACTGGGGGCAGACGCCGCACCGACCGACTCAAAACCAACGAGGTCGGCCGTAGCAGCAGAGGCGACAGAGGGCAGGAGGGGGGAGGGGGAACACCCCTCAAAGATGGGGGTGCGCGGGTCACCACGAGAGGCCCCTACAGCGAGAATGCTCTTCTCGGCTGCTAGGAGGGACTTCTCGAGGATGTTAACAGTGAGAGTGGTGGGGCAGACTGAGAGTAAGTCGTCCCTGACTCCGCGGAGGGAGTCAGGGAGGCGGGTGACAATGTAGTAGAGAGTGAAGTACTGGGGGGGGGGGGGGTTCTTGGCGCAGAACTCAGCAGGAAGCGCAGCGCGGAAGTGAGCGTCACTAGTGCGCAGGTGGGTGATGAGGTTGGCGACTGTGGCAAAAGAAGCAAGGTCGGGAAAGAGGTACGGTAGCATGAGGCGGCTCAGTGCAGCAGTGGCAGGGGTGGAGTAGCGTGCAATAACGGCGTCGTACAAGGTCTGAGCACTCTTGTACGACCCAAAGTGTGCACGCTCAGAGGGAGGGAGGTGGCGACGCACAGCAAGACGTGCAGCAGCATCGCGTGTGGCCAACACTGAGCGAACAGTGGCATCCTCAGTAGCAGCAGGGGCGGGAGAGGCACCAGAAGTGAGATCAAAGAGAGAGAGGCCGTCAGCTCTGTCGCACTGTAGGAAAAGCAGTAGGTCGTCTACCCACACGTCAAAGTCAATGGCTCTGCCCTCAGCGTCAAAGGTGAGGACACTGGGGGTAGCCATGACAGTAGTAGGGTGAGGGCAGTGCGGAGAGTAAAGCTCAGTGCTCACCAGACAGGGCAGTGCAGGCGGCTCGGGCGGCTCGGGCGGCTCGGCGGCTCGGCTGCTGGGCGGCTCGGGCGGCTCGGCGGCTCGGGCGGCTCGGGCGGCTCGGCTGCTGGGGCGGCTCGGCTGCTGGGGCGGCTCGGGCGGCTCGGCTGCTGGGGCGGCTCGGCTGCTGGGGCGGCTCGGCTGCTGGGGCGGCTCGGCTGCTGGGGCGGCTCGGCTGCTGGGGCGGCGCAGTTGCTGGGGCGGCGGGGCCGGGAGATGCAGCTGCGGGGCCGGGAGATGCAGTGGCGGGGCCGTCAGGGGTAGTGGCGGGGCCGATAGGTGCAGTGGCGGGGCCGACAGGGGGGACGGCGGGGCCGTCAGGTGCAGCGGCGGGGCCGTCGGAGGGGACGGCGGGGCCGGCAGGTGCAGCGGCGGGGCCGTCTGAAGCAGCGGCGGGGCCGGCAGAGGGGACGGCGGGGCCGTTGGGTGCAGCGGCGGGGCCGGCAGAGGGGACGGCGGGGCCGTTAAGTGCAGCGGAGGGGCCGGCAGAAAGGGACGGCGGGGCCGTCAGTGGCGACGTCGGGGCCTGCAGAGGCAGGCGATGAGGCCGCGTGGGCGGCGCTAGGGGGCCGCGAGGGCGGCGCGACGCGGCCGTAAGGCCAGCGCGACGTGGCCCGGGCCGCGCGCGCGAAAAAAAAAAGGGTCGCGCGCGCGACTCGCGGGGGCCACAAGGGCAGCGCGAGAAGGACTAGGGGGAGCGCGCTTCGGGGAGAGAAGGGCGCGCTCCGGGCAGCGAAAATTTCGTGGGTGGGCCCTTAAAAAAATGGTCCTTAGGAAGGACCCGCTCTATACCATGTTGAGATTAGAGAGAGAATGTGTGCACTATGAAATGAAACAAGTACAAGTACCAACCCTAATTGGGTTGTACCCCCTATGGGCTACCCCACTACAGCCTAGATATATGCATCAGTAATATGATCATCTGACACTGGCGATTCCCGTTTTTTTACTTCGGGGGTGCTCCACTGTTTCCGTCCCGGAGTGCCGCACGTGCTTTCTTCATTTTGTAGCACGACAAAAACTGATGTCCTGCTGCGCCGCAAAATTCGCATTTTGTCGGCTGCTGCTTCGCGTCGTATTTGTCGATATCCATCGGTTCGGCGAACGTGGGGGGTGCCGATCGCTCCGTGCCGAATGTACGGTTCGGCGTGAAACGTCGTGTTTCGGGTTGACCTCGAGTCAGGGCGTTGTATCGCTCGGCAGCACGCACGATGTCTCTGTAGCTGTTGTAATTCGCCGCAATCACCTGCCGCCGAATCTCCATTTTTAACCCTTCGGTATACGCCTGGATTTTTTCGCCTTCGGTCAGGTCGGTGATGCGGTTGAACAGTAACTCCATCTGCTGCGTGTACTGTGTTACACTACTGTATTGCTTGTGTTGGTGTATCTGCTGCCGCGCCATGTAGGTTGTATTAATTAATTCGAAACGCTCGATTAAATCTGCCCGAAACTGCTGCCACGTTTTCTCCCCGCGGGCTACGTCGGTGTAGTAAATCCATTCGAGAGCCGGTCCACGTAACAGTGTCGATGCGAGCCGAATCCTTGCTGCGTCGTGTTGCGGGGTCGAACAGCCAATGGCCTCGAAGTAAATTTCGAGGGTGGCCACGAATCGCCGGACGTCGGATCCCTTCGCGCTTGGATCGAACGCCTCCGGGAGCCTCAGTCGTGCTGCTTCGAGGTTCGGCGACAGTGGTGCCATTGGTCCGTGAAATGTCAGTGTCGCCACAGCTGCTGGAGTTGTCGGTGCTGCAATCGCTGTGGTCGCTGCTGCTGCGGTGGCGAACCCTGGTTGGCTTGTCAGAAAAGCCTCGAGTCGACGAAGCGTCGCCTGTGTCTGCTCCATGTCGGTGCGGAGGCTCGCGATGTCGCTCGTAGTCGCGTAGTTGTCGCCTTGGCCCTCCATGCCTGACATCAACGCGTCCGAAAAACCGAATCGAGGGGGAGCGAAAAACACGGAACCGGTTTTACGTACCCGAAATCGATGTTTGACTGCGTCGCCCCCGCGGTTTTTGAAGACTGGTTTTTAGTGGTCGAAAGAACTTCGCGTGTAAACGGGCTCTGATTACCAAGTGTGAGGTGTGAGAATAAACGAACAGGGATGAAAATGACTAAGGAAAGATGGGTACAAATACAACCCTAGAAACCCTGTACCCCATATGTGCTACCCCACTATAGCCTACAACAACTATGTCATATAAATCTGACACACCCCCATAGGCAAAGTGGGGGAGAACAAGGGGTCACAAGACCAGTCAAGCAAAGCAAAGCAAGCTCAGGGTGGATCACAAAGTCACCACACAGTCCGAGCACAAGAGTAGGGCCAGAGGCCAGTTCACATGCAGGAGTACAGACATATATATAAAACTAGACAAACAAGAGCAGGCATATATATATGTCTCAGTACAAGTGAAGTCAAGAGGAGAGCAAGTGAGGCAAGACAGGCACAAGACCCAGCTGGGTGCAAAAGCGCTGATGGTCACAAGGCGCGAGTGCCTTGGTGAACACATCAGCAGTGTTGGCCTCAGAGGCCACGTACGCAAGTCGCAACTGACCACGCTGCTGCAGCTCACGAGCAAGGAAGTAGCGGAGAGCAATGTGCTTCGTTCTGTGCTCCAAGCGCTGCTCTCGACACAAGGCCAGCATAGCCTTGTTGTCTACGTACAGCACTGGAGGAGAACGAGGCGGCTCTCCAAGGTCAGTCAGCAGGTAGGTGAGCCAGCGAAGCTCCTGTGCAGCCATGGCCCCGGCGTAGATCTCAGCCTCACAACTGGAGCCGAGAACCGAAGACGAGCGAGTAGAACGCCACGAGACAGAGCCGGAACCAAGGCTGAAGGTGTAACCCTGTGACGACCGCTGCGTAGCCTGGTCGTCAGCCCAAGAAGCGTCCGCGTGGCCGGTAAGGACCACTGGACTCCGCCCTCCAAGCACTAGCCCCATGCCCGACGTGCTGCACAGGTAGCGCAATACCCTCTTCGCTGCAGCCATGTGCTCCGGTCTGTGTCTCCCAGGAGCAACATAGCGTGCAAGAATGCTCAGAGGGTATGCAAGGTCAGGTCGTGTGCAGGTCATCAGGTACATGAGGCAGCCAACAAGCTCTGCATACGGACCACTCAACTCTACGGACTCATCCGAAGGCAGAGCTGAGAGTGAGTGGCGAGTAGGTAGAGGAGTGGCCTGAGGCGAGGAGTACGTGAAGCCGAAGCGCTGAAGGACCTGCTGCACCATGTGTGACTGAGTCAAGGTAATGGTGCGGCGTGCTCTGTCCCGAGTGATCTGCAAGCCAAGGTAGCTGCGCAGTTCACCCAGGTCTGTGCACGTGTGTCTCTTCAGCAGCTCGGACTTCACGTAGGCGAGTCCAGCAGTGTCCGCTGTGGCAAAGACCAAGTCGTCGACGTACACGAGGATGTAGAACGGCGGCAGCGAGGTGTCGGTGCGCAGAAACAGCGACGGGTCAGCAGTAGAAGGAGCAAACCCAAGAGCCGCAAGCGTAGTCCTCAGTGTGTCGTGCCACTCACGCGGTGCCTGGCGGAGACCGTAGACTGGCCGTCTGAGGCTCCACTGGGTGCCAGGAGGGAAAGTCCCAGTGAAGCCAGGTGGACGGCGCAGCCAGATCTCCTCGTGCAGGCTACCCTGCAGGAACGCAGTGCTGAAGTCAAGAGAGTGAAGCTCGTAGTCGCGCTGAGCGGCTATGTGCAGCAGCACCCGAAGAGTGGTCATCTTCGGGGTGGGAGAGAAGGTCTGAAAGTAGTCAACTCCCTGCCGCTGACTGAAGCCACGAGCAACGTACCGCGCCTTGAAGACAGGTGGAGAGCCCGGCGGCCGCTTCACCCTGAAGATCCACATGCCACTGACGATGTTCGCCCCAGGAGGGGGAACTGCGTCAACGTAGGTGCCTGTGGACTTCCAGGAAGCCATCTCTGCATCCATAGCTGCCTGCCACTGAGAGGAGTAGGGACCCTCTACGGCCTCCGCGTAAGAACGCGGAGTCGGGATGTCTAATGCATCCGGGTCTCCCTCAGGGGCAAGTAGTACAGACGCGAGATGAGGTGAAGCAGCCGCTAGACACTGTAACTCCTCCTGTCTGTCCTCTAGGACGTCCGTGCCAAGAGCACACTCACCCCCGACGGACGGAGGACAGACAGACGCAGACTCAGCAACAAGACCAGCAGCGTAGTCGAGACGATAGCGAGCAGCAAAGTCAACGAGCTCAGCGACTAGAGCAGACGCAGCAGTGGACTCAAAAGAGGGGACAGTGACGACAGTAGCAAGCAGACGCGTGACAGTATGGACTGGCAGCGCGAAGAGAGTCTGACTCAGGGTCGGCAAGCGCAGGAAGAGAGGACTCAGGAGGAGAAGGCAGAGGGGCACGCAGAGGAGCAGTGGACGGACGCAGAGACATCCGGTGCGTGCCAGGGACAGGAGGAGGACGCTGACGCGAACCGCGACCACTAGCGCGAGCAGCACGAACAGGCGACGCGGGACGAGACGCAGGCTCACGACGCTCAGCAAGACCTCCAGTAGGACCAGTGTAAGGAGAGGGAGCAGGCAGAGGAGAGGAAGGCTCCAACAGTGACTGCGACTGGACAGGCTGTGGACACTCTACCGAAGGAGAAAGACCAAGAACCTGCTGTAGGAGCGGAACGAAGTACGGCCGAGGCCGCGCGGCAGCTCCAGACTCAGCAGGGACAGCACCAGCACCCTCAGCGACAGCACCAGCGCCACCCACACCTCCAGCGGCAGGACCAACAGCAGTAGGCTCAGCACCAACGCCCTCAGCACCTCCAGCTGCAGGAGGACCCTCAGGTCCAGCAGCTCCGGGACCGGCAGCACCCGCACCCTCGACGGTCGAAGAAGCTCCAGCTCCAGCTCCAGCAGCACCTCTAGACTCAGCAGCACGCCTCCAGCGGCGAGCG